AGCACCTGGAACAGGAAACAGTTTACCAAGCCCAGGACTCTGCTAGGCAAGTCCTCTACAACTGAATTAACTCCCACTCTCTCTCTCTCTCTCTCTCTCTCCCTCCCTCCCTCCCTCCCTCCCTCCCTCCCTCCCTCACTCTCTCACCCTTTTTTAAAGGCATGATCTCACTATGTAGCTCAGACTGCCCTGGAACACAAGATCCTCCTGCCTCTGCCTCCCAAGTTGTAGGGTAACAGGCAGCTGCTAACTGCCTGCCTGAATAACTGATTGTTTCTCTAACATTTTGTACTAGGAAAAGGTGGTCCTTGCCCCGCCCCAACCACACACCCACACACACTCTCTCAAGCTGTGCAGGGATGAAACAACGGGAGATGAGGAGATCACACTTTAATATCCTGGAAGACTATGCACAGAGAATGCATTTCTCCTAGACTATAAAAGCAGAATCATCTTAGCCGCTCTAGCACAGGAAAAAGAGACTGGAGGACAACTACCTAAGGAAGAGGGCACACATGATAATGACACCCACGCTGTCTTTAGTCACGTTTATGCTGCAGCTTTGGAGAGTCAACAATGGCTCTTACCATGGATCAAGAGTTCAGAATCCTTGTTCAGCTCATAAAGCCGGAAAGCTTCTTCTAATTCCAACTGAGAAGACACTGTACACGGATCCCCTAAAAACACAAAAGTACAGCTCAACCTTCACCCTGAGTACGATAACTGTAAGCACACTCTATAAATAATCATGGAGGGGTATTTACAGGGACAGATGTTTAGACACTTCCTTAGACATTCCACTCTCTCAAGTAGATGACATCACATCCATTTCTAGTTGTACAGAACGAAACACGGGGCCCAGACACCACATTTCACACATTTTCTAACCAGGTTCTGCACACAGGCGCACGCACAGGCACGTGCACACACGCACGCACACACACACCAGCAAACCCACTCTGACGACCTTCAGGTTGGCACAGCTCACTTGGATGGGTATGGTTAACAGCCAGGCTGCTGCCTCCTCCTTGTCCCCAGTATTGTGGATGGAGCCCAGGACCAGGCCTGGCAAGCACTCTAACTCCGAAGTATAGAGCCAGCCCCACCCACGTTTTATTGTTTGGGGATGGGGTCTCCGTAAATTACTCAGGCTGGCCTCAAACACACAATTCTCCTGCCTCAGTCTCCCAAGTTCTGGGACACAGGCCTACATCATCAGGCCTGTTTACTCAAGAGAGGAGTAAAGGCAGCTCCACTGCTCACTATGCATGGCTGGAATCTCTCTCCTCAGAGTGACTTTGTCACAGATTTCTTTCACATCGCAACCTTGCTCAACTAAGTCTCAGGAAGGAAACCACTAAAGCACTCCGGACTAAGTCCCGCTTGAGCCACCTAAACATTTTTCTAAGATTCGTTCATCTGATAAGTGTTTTGCTTGCATATATGAAAGTGTGCCACCGTGTGATGTGGCAGTCAGTAGAAAGGGGTCAGATCCCCTGGGACTGGAGTTCCAGACAGCTGTCCACTGCCTTGTGGGTGCAGGGACTTGTGGGTGATCTCTGCAAGATCAGCCAGTGCCCTGGACGACCGAGCCATCTCTCCAGCCCCTGCTTTCTCTTTCCTTTTTTCTATAAAACATCTTTTACTCTTTGAGAATTACACACATCTAAACAATGCATCCTGACCACGTGCGCTCCAAGTCCCCTTCCCCCAAGGAGCCTCGATGCTTCCCTCCGTTCTTCCCAGGCACTCCAACATGTCTCTCCTTTCATGACTCTCTTTGCTAGGCGCCCTCTGAGACTGCCTGCTGGAATGATGTCTGGTCTTGCTGACTTGCTCTTGTGTATATAATCACAGCTGCGATGAGTTCATGGGTACAAAGGCCATGTCACAGCCCAAAGACGGCATTCCACAGTGCTCCTCCCATCCTGCACCGCTTACGCTCTTTGCGCCCCTATTCTGAGATGTCCCTCCTCTGACATGTCCCCTGAGCCTTTGGTGAGAAGGACGTTACAATGTCCTACTTAGGGCAGACACCAGCTTGAGCTACTCTTAAATGGAAGTGCTGAATTTCAGTAACCCACATGGACGACAAGGAAATACTTCTCCTGACTACCCAGCCAAAGCGCTGAGTCACCCTGCAAGTCAAGAGGTGGCACATAACAGGACACTGACATTCCTCAATGAACAAGGCACTTAGAGCCAAGCTGGGGCCCGAACTGGGTCCACCTTACTAGTCCAGTGCTCCCTCCTCCATCTGTCTAACCTTCAGTCACATGCTGCGGAGAACCCAGCTTACCATCTGGGAGAGGAATATGAGGTCATTTCCTTTCTACGCTATCTCAAAGAAAACAGTGTCTCCTCCATTCTTTCCTCAGCTCGGCTGCTGAGGCCTTGCTCCCTTTTATCTTCTCTGGACATGTGTAACGTTGGCCCTGATTACTCAGAGCCGTGAAAAGTAAGACTCCAACTCACTGAGCTGTAAGGAAGGTAGTGAGTGTCACACAGCAACAGATAACCAAACCGGAAACTGGACAAAAGGAAGAGGAATTACATGGCCTTCTCCATCTGCTGACAGGCAGAAGATGGCAGTCACGGCCTGTTGGTGAGGCCTGAGAGCAGAGGAAATGACTTGGGAAGTGGACACACGAGTGTGGCAACACTGTCCCTGAGGGGAATCCAGAGAACAGACCTAAAGGAACATGGCTGCAAACAGACAGAACGACTAGGTAGGAGGCCTCAGATGGTTTCTTTTTAAAAATAATTTATTATTTTTACTTTATGCACCTTAGTGCTTTGCCTACATGTATGTCTCTGTGTGAGGGTGTCCGATGCTCTGGAACTGAAGTTATGGACAGTTGTGAGCTGCCATGTGGATGCTGGGACTTGAACCCAGGTCCTCTGAAGAGCAGTCAGGTGCCCTCAACTGCTAAGCCATCTCCCAAAATGGCTTCTTTCAACATCCTATGTAGATATGGGTACAGAGAAATGTCAAGAATGAACTTTAGGTAAAAAAGTATCTAAAAGACATTTCCCTGCCAAGCCTTGCTTGGTTTAAAAATAAAGCTGCCCCTCCCTTCCACTTCTACCTATAAGTCATAAAAATAAGAAACACTCTCAGGGCAAAGATCGGATGCACGGAGCCCCAAGACTTCCTAATAAACTCTGTCTGTGGGGCTGGGCATGTGCATCTGCAGTGCAGCTGTCACAGAGGCTGGAGTTACGGGCAGTCATAAACTGCCCCCGTGGGTGCCGAACTTGGCCCTCTACAGAAGCAGTATTTACTCTTAACTGCTTAGCCATCTTGCCAGCCCGACATCAGGGTCTTAGGTAAGCATAAGAGCCTCTCAAACCTCATGTACATGGGATCTTGTCTAGAAGAGATTCTTGTGGGTATGTCTATTACCTAACGGAACAGTTATAACTTGACTCATTGCTGTGGGATAATGCTTTTTTTTTTTTTTTTGGTTTTTCGAGACAGGGTTTCTCTGTGTAGCTTTGCGCCTTTCCTGGAACTCACTTGGTAGCCCAGGCTGGCCTCGAACTCACAGAGATCCGCCTGCCTCTGCCTCCCGAGTGCTGGGATTAAAGGCGTGCGCCACCATGCCCGGCGGGATAATGCTTTTATATGCTGGTTTAATAAAACACTGATTGGCCAGTAGCCAGGCAGGAAGTATAGGCAGGATAAGCAGACAAGGAGAATTCTGGGAAAAGGAAGGCTGAGGCAGGAGACACCAGCCCACCGTCCAGGGAGCAGCACACAGGTAAAGCCACGAAAAATGTGGCAACATATAGATCTACAGAAATGGGCTGAGTTTAAGTGTAAGAGCTAGTCAGTAGTAAGCCTGAGCTAATTAATAAATATAATTAATATAAGCCTTTGTGTGTTTACTTGGGTCTGGGCAGCTGCGGGACCAGGCGGGCCACAGGAAAACTTTTAGCTACAAATGGCGCCCACACATGGTGGCAAGAGTTTCTACCTAAAACCTGAGAAAGCTTTAAAAAAAAAAAAAAGATTATAAAACGGAGCTAAAAACAGCTTCCTAGTTGTATCTCTCTGGCAAGCTGTGAGCCACAGTATGGCAGGTTCACAGCGGCGTGTGGGCTTGAGTGCAGTGTAGTGGATTTCTGCAGTGGTACACAGTGGCATCTCCAAGCCTCACAGTGCACTGCATCATGACAGATTTAGCTTTTGCTAGTACAGAAAAAAAAAAAAAGGTTTCTGGGCTACATGCTGCTGGGTGGAAACACAGACCCACTGTGTCACATGGTCGGCAGTGAGCCTGGTTCCCAGAGCTGGTGTTAAACATAGTTCCCCCATGTTGCGAAGCTGAGGAGGGCAGAGCCAGCAGCCAAAGCTGCCATTTCAGTCCCAGTAATATTGCAGTTTAAAGCAATAGATTCACAGTGAAACAGATTCAGATGAAATAAACCTCTAAACAGTCTACAATATATATAAAAATATATGTAGACTTGGAAGAGAGAGGAAAAAGAATATAGACAGTTATATAAAGAAATAGAAAGTTTTAAAAAATAAAGTCTTTAAAGAGAAAGTAAAAGCATTATAAAAAAAAATAAGCCACGTAAAGATAGATATCAAACAGAGATTCTGGATTATGTTATCTTTGGGAATTTTAACTGCTGAACGCTGGTCCTACATAATCCATATTGCTCTCAGCATATGTCTTCCAGGATCCTACTAGGAGGCCTATTTAACCCTGCTCACAGCGCATTCAATGCTTCGAGCTGCAGAAACATGAAGCAGGGATTCAACTGGCACTGGCAAGGCTGAACCAGAGGTTGAAGCCACAACTCAAGGAGTTTTGGGGATACTGGATTTTGAATGTATTAGCTGCTTCCTGCAGTGAATTTCTTATGTGTGTTATTACAGCTTTCCCAATTGATTCTTTTCCCAAGAACTTCTAACAGTGTGGTTGATCATTTATTAGGCACGATTCCCCCTACAAGTTTGGGGCCTATGGATGACATCCCTTTGACTATGTTTGAAAACAGTCACACAAAGACCCTTTCCCCACACTCAGGCCTTTGTTCCTCTTACTCTAGCATAGAGTCTGCTTTTCTGTAATTGTTTTCATTAGCAGACATCTGGCCAGGGCCATCTCCAGACAAAAGAATTTCATCTGAGATACTTCTCAAACATCCAAGGACAGACTGCTGATAGATGAGCACTAGCATGCCCTGAACTCACCTCTCCAACAGGTAAGAGAAACTAACCTCACTAACCTTAAATCCTTACTTTCACCCGGGCTTATTAACACAAGGCCCTAACTTAAGTGATTTACTGCTTGCAATTACTGGGATGGTGATTGGCCCTCTGCTAGTTACTGATATAGGTAAATATTCCCATTGACTCGCTGTAAGCCACAAAAAATATAGAAAGTAGGATTTCAGCTGATTATGGCAAAGCTAATACCTGGAAGAAGCCAAGGGCCTTCCTGAGGTCAAGCTGAGGCTCAAGGAGCCTTGGTGATATTTGGCTTTTGATCATCAGTCGTTTCCTGCTATGAATTTCTTGTGTGCTATTGTAGCTTTTCCAGCATTATTTGGGCACCATTTCCCCTCTACTAAAGGAATATTGAGATAACCTGCGCTGACAGCTATGCTCAGCCAGAACCCCAGTTCAAGCCTCCCTATAATTATCATCATTGGCAGTATCCGGCCAGGTCCATGCCCAGACAAGTCCATGACTCTGTACTCTCTAAGAACAGACTTAAGCATCCAGACTACTCATTTGAGAAGGCCTAGCGGATATGCCAATTAAGCTTAACTTCCTGCTTTCCAAAATCTTACCTCTAGTTCCAGATCTCCCTTTAACTATCACCAGAGGCATCCAGCTGTACACAAGTTGCCTCGTGACCAAGCACACTTTCTCCCACCCTGCAGAAAAAAACCAGCAGATAGCCTGGACAGATAGGAGCCACAGGAAAAGAGAAGACAGTTTTATTTTCTCCCATTGACCTAGCAACTAATAGATTCTTAACATTAAATGTGATCTACCAATCACATTTAAGATTATAGTTGTGTACATAAGATCCCTCTTCTTAGATAATACCCGAATTTAGCCTTTAGTTAATTCATTAGTCATTTCCCTTTTGGGTTGCCAATGATAATTAACAATTACTGCCCCTCTATGTGATTCTTATCACCCCTCCATTCGACCCTGGAAGCCTGGTGGTCATTGCCTGAGGAAAATTCTTACCTACCTTTATGACCCCGTAGAATTCAATCCTGGTGACCTTGCTCAACCAGGGGATTGCTATTGCTTGGGTTTATAACTAAACTACTGAGAGACTTGGGAAGGAATGTGGAGAATTTAGAGACGAAGAATGGAGAGGAATAAGGAGGATTTTGACCACAGAGAACATGTGGATGAGATGGAAAATGAGGACGAGTCAGATGGGGAAGTACTAGCTGGGTAAGAACAAGATGAGAAGGACCAAGATTTAAGGCAGAATCAAGACAAGAGAATTAAGATAGAACTTAGAGGGAGCAGTGGATAAATATAGAGAGAAATCAGGCAAGAAAGGAGGTAGGCATGAGAACAGAACTGAAGCTGGGTAAACAGGAATGTTATCCCAGAGGAATTAAAGTAAGTGGACGATAGAGCTCGGTGTGCTGAGATTCTATTTCCCAAAAATAGTCCTGACCACTGTCCGAATTCCTCTCTCCTGAGCCCCTGGGATGTATAATATTAAGGCTGGTCCCGATAATATTATACAAGACTGACCCAAAGAGACAACCACCAAGGCCAGGCAATGATAGGTGCCAAGCTTTGTTTCTTGTGCAAATTAAGCTTAAACCCTCCTCTTTTATCCCATAGCCTAGGTGTTATCACTAGATCTAAGGGTTCCCTTTAGCAACTGACTCAGAGTGAAAGTGCTTTTGCAAACCACATGCTACATGCTGTTACCCAGGTTGCCTAGTAACTGAAAATACTTCCCGTCCGGCTGGAAAACAGCGCTGCTGAGATCGCTGAACCGGCGGTGACAAAGGGAAAAGACAGTTTTACTTTACTCGTGCCTTATACTGACATACAGACTCCTCACCTTTCACCTAGTCACTTCTGAGAATACAGTCTGAGCCCATAAATTCCTCCTTAGATCCCCTAATTGATTTTAGCCCTTAGCTGACCCTACCAGAGAACGTCCATTAGTCACTCCTGCTTTGGGTTGTAAATGAAAGCTGACAATTACTGCTCTATGTGTGGATCTTACCACCTCTCTCTATGACCCTGAAAACTTGAAGCCTCACATTGCATTGCCAAAGAATTACTGCCTGTAAGTGTATATAACTGGTACCCGGTGACACTTGTAGAACTGATTTAGAAGAATAAAGTGAATGGACTGAAAGAGCTCCGTGTGTGCATATTCTTTTTTTTCTTTTTCTTTTCTTTTTTTTTTTTTTGGTTTTTCGAGACAGGGTTTCTCTGTGTAGCTTTGTGCCTGACCTGGAACTCGCTTTGTAGACCAGGCTGGTCTTGAACTCACATAGATCGGCCTGCCTCTGCCTCCCAAGTGCTGGGATTAAAGGCGTGCGCCACCACTGCCTGGCTTCTTTCAGTATTCTTAAGATTAGATTCTCAGCTGGTTGTAGAGTTCTTCCATGGACCCTGGGGCTGGACCTCAATAGCTCTTGTTAATTCAAATGTAACTTTTCTAGTCCAAAACCCCAAAGTCTTCTAAAATTCTTCAAAGAATAGGTCTTGTCTGTCACAGCAACAGTCCCATTCTTAGAGGACCTGGGTTCCCAGTAACCACATGGCTAACAGCTGTCTGTAACTCCAGTTCCATAGGACCCAACACCCTCTTCTGGCCTGTTCAGACACTGTATGCACATGGTGCATAGAGATACACGTAAGCAAAACACGTATACACATTAAACACACACTCACACACAGACACAAAGAAAAAACATAACACTGCAACTCATAATCATATATATTGTCAGTTAAAAATAAAAAATTTAAAAGCTATGCAGAGAACTAAAAATAAAGTAAAATAAAATCCTATCTGTCATTCCCTGGCCCGTGCAAGAGTATGTGGCAATGATGGTTACAAAATTACTAGCCACCTAAAATATTTTGCTACTGAGGCCTGATAGCTCACATTAGGAGACCAAAGAAGGGGGTCACTGAAAGTTTCCTGTCAGCCAGAGCCACATAACAAAACCTGCCTTATTTAAAAAAAAAAAAAAAAAAAAAAAAAGCCCATTAGGGGCTGGAGAAGCGGCTCAGCAGTTAGAAGCACTTGTGGTTCTTGCAGAAGTTTAGTTCCCAACACCCACACGACAGACCACAACCTTCTGTAACCAGTTCCTCCAGGGGATCTGATACCCTCTTCTGGTCTCCTTAGGCACCAGGTACACTTGTAGGCAGTAGATGGTGAGAAGCCTTAATTCAATGTCTTCAAACTGAGGAAGCCGCCCATTCTATCATTCTATCAGCCCTGGTCCTTAAGAGCACTCTGACTAACACACATGCCCAACTGTGATGAGCCTCTGAGTTTGAGGACAGGCAATGTCCATCCTCAAGACAGTTCACAAGGCTTTGTGAGTACAAGTCACTAACATCACCCTGAAGTAAAATGATCACAATCACTATGACTGCTTCTACAACATTTTCTTTAAGGTATATTCAGTTAATAACAGGTAAGCTATTATATTAAAATATAAACATTTATATTAAAAAACACGACACACTAATGAAACATTTGCCTCCCTCATTTTGAAGAGGGAAAGACAAAGACTGTGTACTTTGATTTAAATCTTGCCTCTTAATCTAAGGACTCAAGCACAGCATTCCATTTCCGCTTTATCTTTCCCTCCTGAATTTCTTAGGGCTCTTACTTCTCTTAAAGCAAAGGCTCACCCAGGCAGCATCCCTTCTCCCAGTCACTCACCTTCCTCATCTATCCATTTCATGGTGAAGGGCTGTTCATTGTCAAAAGAACACATATCTCGAACCTCACTGCAAAGTCCCTCAAAGGAGATGGAAGGCTCAAAGTGTGTTATCATAATGTCTCTGCAAAAGAAAAAGAGTTTTATGCTTTAAAAGTTTTATGTGTAAAGCCATTCTGATCTACATGTGACTGAATACCTGGCTGGTGACAGACTAGTTATTCTGTGTGTACATGAAACATTAAAACGTTAATGAAATAAAGTTACAACCTGAAAAGCACTGGAGTTATGCAAAACCTACCTCAGTGCGCTGCTGTCACGGAGAGAACCACCCTCACTGCTCCAGCACTTCCGGAAGGCCTTCCAACTCCACAGCCACTCTCTAAAGCATGCGCCTTGGATCCATCTAGAATCTGTTTCAAACTCCACCCCCAGATTTTCCTACCCCAGAAAGTCTACCATTCATCCCTCAGCTTGTCCTTCTGTTACCCTGGCTTCCTTAGCCTTGACTTATAAAATAACCCACCATAAATCTGTCAATCATTCTTTGTATCACATGATTTCTACATCTCTTACCTCATCTTCAGCTTTTCCCCAAAGAACATGTTTTCTAAAAATAGCTTTAAAGCAACTTCCTTTAGTATAGGTAACCTTCTTCCCCAATCACTGGAATATATTTTTATTAATGAAAGTGTTAATATAAAGTAGTAAATAATATATACTAATTGTATTAGCACTAGATGAACAATTTAAATAAATCCAGTAAGCAGCTCTTCCCTGTAACTTGACACTTGTTAAGTGTTTTCGAGCAGAGGCCTGGTGTTCCCCTAGGCAGCCCTGGAGAGGTCTCCAGAGCTCTCACCTCTACACAGCAGCAGCTTTCACACAGCACTCTGGGGGGGACCAGTTTGAAGGTTTTTATAAAATTAACGCAGTCCACGTCCTTCCTGCTGTAAATCCAAGTGCAAAGTCTCTCATGCGGTCAAGTTAACGTCCCCAGGCAGGTGGGTGGTCAGACGCCGGCTAGAGTCACCTGGGAAGGGAGCGGCATGAGGACCAGTCTAGCCAGGCTGGTCCGTGGACAGGCTGAGGGATTTCACGGCTGCTGAACTAACCGGGGTGAAGAGAGGAGGTGGGACAGACTGAAACCTGAAGCAGTAAGCTCAAACAACTCTTGCCCTCTAGCTTGCTCCATCTTGGTATTTTACCATAGTAAGTGGACAGAAAACGAGGGCACCAGGGTCTACAGGCCCACAGGAGCTGTCCCGGGCCACCTCCCGAGCTACTTCTCTAACGGGCAAGTAAGCATGTGCTTTTACTCTATCTACTCTCTGTCCCAAGTGGAATACAATCAAACTTGGGGAAGGGAACGCAGAAACATTTCTTCACTATACTCCCAGAGGGCAATGCAGATCAGAGGACAGGATGAACACTTAACTGTCAAAACAGCTCTGACCTCAGAATAGGGAGAGAGAGATTATTCTGGAGCCAAATATGAGTGCACGGCCAGGGGACACAGATTCGAGCTACCCCAAACAACATTTTCATGAAGTTCTCACAGCAACAGAACAAAGGAAATCTTCAATCAAATGCACTTTTCTTTTTTTTCTTTTTTCTTTTTTCTTTTTTTTGGTTTTTCGAGACAGGGTTTCTCTGTGTAGCTTTGCGCCTTTCCTGGAACTCACTTGGTAGTCCAGGCTGGCCTCGAACTCACAGAGATCCGCCTGGCAATGCCTCCCGAGTGCTGGGATTAAAGGCGTGCACCACCACCGCCCGGCCAAATGCACTTTTCAAACACACCGGTGGAGCATCCGAGAGGTGGCTTACAGCAAAGAGGACCATCTCTGCTATCGGCCTGGATGCTAGCTGATGATGTTCTTAGCTTTCTGGATAATGAACATCAATTCAGTTAATACATTCCAAAACGTTTCACCCATGAGACACAAGGATGTTAAGTCAGACACAGAGATGGGCAAGGGAATGGCTATTTAGGGAGCTAAAACAGCCCAAGATAAATTGTTCTTAGGTTCTGGACCTGCAACATCACAACCTCTCCAGTCACAGAAGTTCTCATCGGGTGAACAGGCTTGTAGAAGATTTGGTGGAAGGTACTGTTCTTTCCAAGAACGTTCACTCACACAATAAATAAAAGGAAATGACAATAAACAGGAACTGTGAATAGATATGGGTAGCTGAACACAGAACACAGAGGCTCTTTTTTAATTAACACAGCAGCCACGTGTTATCTGCCAAAAGAAGTGACAGCTACAGTGTTAAGGAGCTACAGCAGTAAGCAGAGACCCAGGCAGAACAGAAATCGAATGGCCCTCAGGACCTGACAGTCTAAGTATTTCACACGCTCTGCCTGTCCCCTGCCATGACTTTTCATAACAATATGCTTCTTGGTGCTCCACCTAGTATTCTGAACACTTAAAGTCTCCTTTGTCTTCAATCCTAAGACACAGGAAGTTATTTCTACTGAAACTTTTTCCTACAGAGGACACCAGGAGAACATGGTCCACACAATCAACAGGCAGGGCTCACAGAGGCTCAGGGACTCTGAAGAGACAAACACGAGCCCTGTGAGGGCTTGAGCTAGGTCCTCTGCACATACCTTACGGCTGTGTAGCTTGGTGTGCTTGTGGGACCCCCAACATGGGAGGGAGTAGGGGTGTCCTTGATGGTTTTGCCTGGCTTGGGACCCCTTTCCTCCTACTGGGTTACCATGTCCAGCCTTGATATGAGGGTTTGTGCCCAGGCTTATTAGGCCATGTTTGGTGGATCTCCTTGGGAGGCCTGATCCTTTTTTTTTTTTTAAGGGAAACAGAGGTGGAGTGGATCTGGGGGAAGGACTGGAGGGAGGAAACTGAAGTTAGAGTGTAAAGTACAAGAGAAGAATAAAAAGTTTAATTTTATTTCATATATTTTGATCATATTCTCCCTTCCCCTCAACTCCTCCTAGATCTGTGCCTTGCTCAGCCATCAGAGAAGCTTCCTCCTGCAACAGATGGGAACAAATAGGGACCCACACAGCCAGACATTAGGCAGAGAGACCTTGGAACACTCAGCTCTAAACGGGATGTCTCCATCAAATCCCTCCCCTCAGAGCACAAGGAACGAGTGTCTCTGCATCTACGCATTTCTCGTGCTTTTTCATATTTGACTTGTTTATCTTATATTTTATTATTATTCTTTAGATGTCTGTTTTCTTTTTCCTTTCTTTTTTTTTTTTCAAAATAGGGTTTCTCTGTGTAGCTTTGGAGCCTGTACTGGAACTCACTCTGTAGACCAGGCTGACCTACAACTCAGAGATCTACCTGCCTCGGCCTCCCGAGTTCTGGGATTAAAGGAGTACGCCACCACTTGGCTAGATGTCTACTTTCTAAGGAGAGACAGAAAGAGTATGGATCTGATGGGAGCTGGGGGCGGGGGGAATGGGAGGAGTGGGAGGAGGGAAAACCATAATCAAAACGTACTGTATGAAAAAAAATCTATTTTCAGAGAAAATAAATAATTTTTTCATATACATTTTAATCATGTTTCCCCTCCCCCAACGCTCGCCAGATCCTCCCCACCTAACTTCACGTTTTCTCTCTCTTTTCAAAACAACAAAATAAAAAGACCAAAAATCAAAACAAAACAAAACATGAAAAACATTAAGATGAAATACTAAAACAAAAAGTCCACAAAAACCAATCATGGAGTACATTTTGTTTGTCCAGCTCCTCCTAGGCATGGGACCTGTCCTGGAGTGTGGCTGATATATCCCATGGCAATACTCCATTGGAGAAAACTCATTTTCCCTTTCCCAAAAGTTATCCACTGCAAACAGCTTCTTGGTTAGGAGTGGGCTTTGTGTCCACTCCCCTTCTCAGTGCTGAGACTGTGTGTCTCTATCAGTCCTGTTGTATATGAAAACATGAGTTCCTTGGAGCATCTACCACCTCTGGCTCTTACAACCTTTCTGCCTCCTCGTCTACACAGATCCCTGAACCTTGAAGGATCTTGGAAGTGCGTGTTCCCAAGTCTCCTCCTCTCTGCATTTTGACACAAGACATTCTCGGTGATGTTCCAGAGGCCGTGACCCTTCTGTACCTCACTCTATCTCCACACACGTGTCTGGTGTGGTTACAAGGGACGGCTAAGAATCTAGATCTTGTTCTCCTTCCTTCCCCCACGGGGTCACACCGCCCCATGTGCATAACTACTACAGACACTGGTTCATGGCCAAGCCCCACCCTTCAGGTCTTGGTTACAGTCGAATCTTGACAGCCGTTAATTTAAAGCTCAGTTTACACAGAAAGAGAGAAGCACTATCAACACCACAGTCTATTTCATTTGCCAACCACATAGTATCTTAAAACTGTAAATCTGTCTGACATTCTTCTTAATGCGCATACTGTTAACACATCTACAAATAAGTAATGAACAACTAAAAGCTAAACTTCTTGGATGAGTAAATGTATTCCTATTACTATTTGGGTTTTTGTTTGTTTGTTTGTTTTTGGAGACAGGGTATCTCTGTGTAACATTCCTGGCTGTCCTGGAACTCGATTTGTAGACGCGGCTGGCCTTAAACTCACAGAAATCCACCTGCCTCTGCCTCCTGAGGGCTGGGATTAAAGGTGTGCACCACCACCACCTGGCTTCATGTTACTATTAACACAACAGGGGTCAAGTATTTTGTACTGTAATTTAAAAAGTTCCTATAGAAAATCATTTTCCATCAAATACACACCTTTGACAAAGGAATACATTTTTTTCAATATAAACATTCACAGAACATTTTGTATTGTTTCTCTCTCTCTCTCTCTCTCTCTCTCTCTCTCTCTCTCTCTCTCTCTCTCTCTGTTTTTCGGAGACAGGGTTTCTCTGTGTAGCTTTGGCGCGCCTTTCCTGGAAATCACTCTGTAGCCCAGGCTAGCCTTGAACTCACAGAGCTCCGCCTGGCTCTGCCTCCCGAGTGCTGGGATTAAAGGCGTGCGCCACCACTGCTTGGCTCTGTCTTGTTTCTTTATGATCCGGTCTCAGCCCTGGCTATCCTGGAACTTGCTGGTAAACTACACTGGCCTCGAACTCACAGAGATATGCCTGCCTCTGCCTCCTGGGTGCTAGGACTACTGG